TATAACTTCCGTATTTATATATATTGTAAGCTATTTATTTTAAAAATGTTTAAAAGTGTTTTTAAAAGAATAATATAGTTCCAATATACATCAAAAAGGCCCATCTTCGAACTAGCAGTAATCGTCCATAGTGACATCTCTAGTCTCTATCGACAACTTGTACCAGTTAATGCAATCGATTAAATGAGGGATAAATTAAATATAGAAGGATTTTTAGCAAGTTCTATTTAACCATGTTTAATAGTTGTCATCAAATGATGTACTCTAGAAATAGTTTTATGTAGTTTTGGGTTATGTAGTTTTGGGTCTACAGCTCGTACAAATATTGAAAATATATCGATAGGTCGATTCGATAACTTAGTCATACAAAAACTTTTCACTTCCTTTAAAACTGCTGCAGCCATATAACAATTTGCGAGCAATTAAAGCCGCATAATTTCTGGCAGCCTATGCGCCGGGGCTCGTTCGTAGACGTGTCTGCCTTCCTCCCCCCCCCCCCTTCCCCCTCCGCCTCCTACCTCACTCAGTCCACTATCCCCCACTTGCTGCTGTCCCTGACATTGTTGGCGTTGGCTAAAAATTGCAATGTCATTGTTGCGAGAGACAGCGGGCGGTGGTGCACAAAAACCATGTGGCTAGTAATTCATTACCCCGACCACACACACACACACACACACACACACACACACAGCAATTCGCATGGCCGCCACCGACGCCATTTAATGTGCAAACAAAAGGCGTTGGCAACACAAAATAGGAAAAAAAAAATTAAAAAGGGATATACAGCAAAAAGAAATAAAAGAAAAAAGAGAAAGAAAAGCTTGTCAAATGTTATGAAGTATTTGTAAAGTGCAGACGGCGCACAATGGCAAAAAAAAAGATACGTGGGCGGGGGAAGAGAAAATGCTGTGCTCTATGCTAAAAGTTAAAATAACGAGCGATAATTAATGGAATGACAACATAAAGCAGCCAACAATTTCAACAGTTTCGAATGCTGAGGCGTTAGGAGGACTTGCAGCTGCACACCCGCTCCCTCCCAACCACACACACACATACATACACACACACACACACAAATGCACATACACATCTACAGCTGGGCGTGTGAATCGTTATCGAAGCCGGGCGCGAAAAAAGTTGAAGCGGAAGCAACGCCAATGCCAATGTGAATGGGGCATGTGAGTGGGGTATGTGAATGGGAATGTGAATGCTGTCCTGAACAACCGGAAATGCATTGTTTCACGCGCAATTTCATTTTGGTATTTATTATGCGCAGAAGTGTCCGAAAGAGCCCGAAGTGCGGCACACAAGCCCCGCAAGTGGCTGGCATCTCCTGACAGCAGGCATTTAATTAATGCAAAAGTAATCAAAAATAATTAATTAGAACTGTAGGAAGCGCTTAGAGCGCAACTCCAATAGATTGCAGCATACCTGGCACTCAAGTATGTCGAAATCTTTTGAAATATGCATAAGCATAACAAAATTTTAAGCTTACTATTGAGCAAATATTTTGCCTAGCATTAATTAAAGAATTTTTAGTTTTCGTTTACAGTCTTATGAATTTAAAATGCTTTATACGCATAGAAAGGGGTTAAAACAGAAAAGAAAATATACTTTAATAAAGCTTAAAGCATTTTAATTGTTGCGAATATTTGATATTTTGTTTTTTAATAAAAGCACACATTTCTTTTCATGCATAGTTAACAATATTTTTAGCATACAAAAGACTTTCAAATCGACTTTAAATGAAAGTTATCTTGAACTTAATTAAATGTTAAAAATGAAAATTTGATTTTCTCTGTTTAAAAAGCTATAGAAAAATAACTAGCTAAACATGTATTGTTATTGAGTCAAAATATATAATAGATATATATGGATATAGATTTAAGTATACCTGAAAAAAAAATTAAAAGCCTACTTAATATACAGCTGCACAACTCTAACCTTATGTGAAGCAAGGTTTTCGTGTTTAGCAGATGCACCTTTAAACTTAGCGATATAAATAGTTAGGAAAAGAGAGGACAAGAAAAAGAGAGAGAGAAAGAGATAGCATTAATGTGAAGCTAATGTGATTTTAAAGCAATTTCAAAACAATAGACAAATAATCTTAAATTATTATATGAAATTAAGCTTAATTTCAAAAGTCCATTAGATAAAGAACCCAAAGAATATACAAATGTAATATATATTTCTAGACTCCAAACGGGTAGAAGAAAAGTGGTCCAGATGGATCTGAAAGTATGATAGCTAAAATGGCTTAAATTTGAAATGTTTATTAAAATGGTATTAAATACATGCTCAGTCCAAAGCTGGTAAAATAATTTATCGCTTTTGGAATTATGCTCGGCATAATCTTAAACTATTTGCAAGCGGCTTAAAGCTACTTTTGCCATACATAATTATGCAAATTTTTTGGTATAGGCGGCTTTCGTTAGCCTAAGCTGCACTGCTGCATTGCTGGCATTGCATTTATTAGCTGAGCATCATTAGGCCAAACAATACAACAACAGCAACAACAACAGGAACAGCAACAGCAGCAACATTTGCCAGCAATCTCGCTTGCGCAACTTTGCAGACATCTTTTCCTTGGCCGCACAACATTTTCAATTTGCCAACAAGGGGGCAGGTGGTTTGGCGCCAGGTGGTTTCGGTCACAGCACCAGATACGAGTAGTTTGCTGCAGGCATTCTGGTGGCAGGATGACAGAGCGGGGGGCGGTTATGTGCGTGGTTAGCGCACAAGCAACGCCGCGAGCATTGAAACCAAAACAGGCGACGAGATGACGATGTTGACGATGTGGTTGCACTTATTCCCCATGTTTTTTCGTTGTTCATGTTGTTGCTCTTGCTGTTGCTGTTGGGGCTGATGAGGAAATTGTTTTCAAAAATTACAAAAAGCTGCAGAACAGGCAGCTACGCGGACATACTTAGTACAAAGTATGTATGTATGTGTGTATGTATATCGTGACAAACTTTGCCAAAAGTGTAGAATGTCATGTACAAATTCCAGCAGTTGGGGTTTATGTGTCCCGTAAATATTAGTAGATCAAATTTATAAAAATATTTCAAATTAAAAATAGTTGTCGATAACAGTATCAATCGCAATGGCCAAATAACCCAAATCCGTAAAGCGACGAAATCGACAATCAGTGTAGTAAAACTCGGTTATATGTGTTAAAAAAAGTCTTATTTCAAATTTAAGCATAAATTCTCATACGTTGCAAAATGTCAGTTGGGTTATTCAGCAACCTGTTATTTATTTATGCTTTAATCATTTAAAATAGTGTTGCAAAGTACCTTTAAAGCTTGAAGCAGACGTTTTTTCTGCTTTACAGCACACATCTAGCACTGTGTTTGATGTCACCTTAAAGTCGTATAAGACCTAAAGTTTTTAGGTCTTATGTGCGCGATATTCTTAAATATGAATAATGTTTATAGAAATGTACACAATTCTGTATATAAAACATCGCTTTCCGAAAATATCACTCCATAGATATTTATAAAAACTGATACAAATAATCGCTTATATCCTATCTAATAAAATTTCTGCAAAGATTAAAAATAAGCATGCAAATTGTCTTGCTCAACTTAGCAGGAAATGGACGTCTAGTTTTCAGAGCGGCTTGTAGGGGCAGGTAAAATGCTGCACCTGCAGGTCCTTCCAGGTATAGGCGCCGCTGGTTTGCAGCAAACGCAAATAAGATAGAAAATGTTTGTACGTCAAATCATCAGATGGATCATCGGGATGTGCCCTGTGATAGGCGCACTCAGTGTGGCAAATGAAGGGCCGTCGCAGAGGCACCTCTATCTTAAATATGTCGTATAGCTGTCCAAATAGCTCGGAGCCATCGTTAAAGATCAACAAGGTGTAGGCTGAGCTGTTAGATACAAATTGTGTTAGCCAAAGGTTAAGCAAGCTAACAGGTGTACGGCTACTTACTAGGCTTCGTAGATGATCTGCTGGAATTCGGGCATCTCGATGATGCAATTGAGCGAGGGCTCGTCTGTGGGCGCCTGCAGCTCCATGATGAATGTGCGGGGCAGCAGCAGGAGACGCACCGTCTCCATGATATCCAAGGTGTGTTTGGCCCGTGCCGCCCAGTCGTGGTTGAGCCAGCGCACAGCGGAAAAGAAGATCTCCTTCTCGCTGTTGACCGCCACATTCACAGAGCTGAGCAGGCAACGGACATGCTGCAGCGGCAGTTCAACAAACTCAACGCTGGCGACCAGGGTGAGGAAGAAGCATTGAATGCGAAGCAGCATGGTGGTGTCCAGGCCCAGCAAGGGCAGCTTATCACCCAGGTTCAGCGCCTCAAAGGATACCGCAAAGGCCTGATCCTCGCGAAAATCTTCAACGAGGTCCAGACAGAACCACACCTGCTTGACCAGCGGCTCGATCTCGAGGTATATGGCTGCCGCCAGCACTTGCATTATATGGCAACGTTCCAGCTTCGCAACGGGCTTATTTATCCAATCGCAAACGCGCACCAGTCCCTCCGCCGGCACCCGATCCTCGGGTAATACCAGCTCCCGCTGTCCCCCCTTCAGGTTGTCCTTGATGAACTTCGATTGGCACATGAAACGCAGCCGATTCACGCATATCTGCTTTGTGCCCAGCTTCAGCACCAGATCTGTGGCATCATTTCCCTCCCAAAGCTCCAGCAGCAGCGGCACCAGCGAGTCCTGTTTCCTCATTTGAAAGTCCTTCTCGGATATGTCCCATATGGGCAGCTGATTGCCGCCACGAAACTCGCACAAAGCAACCTTCGGCAGGCTCGGCTCAAGGGCCAGTTTCTCCACAGTTTGCGACAAGTCGAACATTTTGCTTAAAAACTGGAAATTTTGGAAATATTTCGTAGTGGCAGACTACTGAGCATGTGTGCGTGTACGATTAAGATAGACTTCCAACTGATTTTAATAACAAATGGTTTTTTAATAAAGCCGTGCGCCCTTTTGGGTAAATTGGGTAAAGTTGTTCAAGCAGAAAGAGAGAAGCATAAATGGAACCTACAGTATGTACACTCAAAAAAAATTATCTAAATTTTAAAGTTCTATTATATTTAAATGGTAAATATTTTAAGATATTAAGAAATTAAAATCTTTTGAATTTTTTGGAGCGAACCAGAACGACAAAATGATCCGAGTCAAGTATATATTTCTATGTAAAATAGAATTTTGTTTAAATAACTATCCCAATGAAAGTCGATAGATATCGAACTATCTCAGTGCTTATAGGAGCTAAAAGCACTAACATTTCGTTTGCATCATCCTTTCATAGCCATGCCCAAGGGATTAAGTTACTGAACAATAAGTTATTGTAGGAATGGCTAAAATATTCTCCATAATCAATGCCTAAAGTCTAGGCTGGCATACATATGGCATAGACAATTTGAAGAGCCAAATGTCAAGATTTGAAGGAGCTCTCGAGCTCCTTGTTGTTCGCTAACATTTTGGCCAATTAGACGCACAATGGGCCCCAAATTATGCAACATGGCGCGACAAATTCAATTTGCTATGCCCCAAACACGTGCCCAACAACAGCAAAGGCAACAACAGCCGGGCACAAAGTGAGGTATACACACACACACACACACACACACACATTTGCACACAGGCATGGGCAGCAGTCGAGCGACACGTCGAAAGTTGTTCAAAAATCCCTGGAGAAATTAGTTTGATTTATGTTGAGTTTCCGGTGCAAATAAATTGCCAAGTTTACAGGGCTCGGACACGGGACGCAATGCGAACGCATAATTGATAATGCGAGCGGCGTAGAAAACGGCTTTTAGGTAAGGGGGGCACCAGGGATGAGGGGCAGCATTCAATTGACGCTTGTTCGCTGCCGTCCAAATTGTGCCTAATCCAGTTGAAATGCCTGTCAAAGTCACAATGAATCTGTAAAAAGGCATGCTAAAAGATTGTACATGTGGAAGAAAGAGGATAGCATTAAATAAATAAATATAGGCAATTAACAGGAGCTGCAAGTTGGACAGGTTTCTTAACTTTTTTCATACGCAAAACCAAATACATACATTGACAATTTTCTAACCGTAAAAACCTCGTAATAAAGTATTGGCATTGCTAGCATAACAGAATGCGGTCACACTCTGCTGTTTGTGGTCATTTAATTGGATTGCTACACTAATTATTGTGAATATAACATTTTAAATTTTACACCATACATTTTGTTTAAAGCTTTAAGACTATTTGAAAAAGCAATTCGCATTTAAGCGCTGACCCAATAGTCTCTGTCAACTGCGGTTGACTGTCGGGACTAAAAATCAAAATCGGTTTGCACACGGCAAATGCAAAACCTCAAAATCAATTAATTTTATTGGCTGCACCCTTTTTTTTGTTTTCCAAACTGAAATGTCATTGTGGTGGAAACTATTCGAGAATACGTTGGTGCATGTTGTGTGGCACACTCTTAAGGGATTTACTTACAAAAATCTTATCAGGTTTGCAACGCAAACATTTTTGAGTCAATTATAATACTGAGATATCGTATACTCTTGAATACTCAATTTTTGAAGCTTAGAAATATTTGTAAATAACTTTTGCATTATCAACAAATCGAATCACTTGTTAACTGACTTAAAAGATATATACTAGTACATTAATTATATACCTAAGACATTTGTCAATATAATCATATGAATATCCATTGTATCCATTGCTTTGAGTTAAATAATGCTTTAATATATCACAAAAAGACAATTTTTACAAAAGTGGATACCTTAATTCAACAACATTTTTGGACTAGTGCCCTAAACTAATTACTTTATATTTTTCTAAAGTAAACATAAATAATAAATAAAATATACAGACTGTTGGAGGATTTGAATTCTAATAAATCAAAGTGTTTGGTATTCTTAATTATCGCTTTTATAGTATAGATCATTCGAAAAACCTGTACCAACTCTTTGATATATTTTAAGTTAAGCAGACGACAAATCTTAAAAAAAAAAAAAAACATTTTAACTATATTGTCTAAATAAAAGGCAGAAATAGATAAAGAAAAAGTGCATATAGACTGGCTCGCCACTGGCTGATCAATTGAGTACTTCCTGTGGTAAGGGCATATAGACATAAACATCCTTTCGATGGTATCTTTCTTGTGTTTTTCCTTTTTTTGGTTCTTCCAGCTTTTTTTCGTGTTTGCCATTGGCCCACCCGACTGACATTGACAAAAGTGCAAAGGATTAAAAGTTCGGCAGAGGCAGGCAAAGCTGAACCAAAAAACACAACACACTAATACACACACCCTCTGTCACACACACACACACACACGCAGAGAGACACCTTTGTGGGCAGTCTAGGACCGGTACGGGTAAGGAGCTGCGGCTGAGTGAGAAATTGAAGTCACGTAGCTGTGTGCAAATTTTTTGTAGGTTTGACACTAACAATTTTTTTTTATTGGATTCCTTTTTTTTTGTGGATTTTTTGTGTCCTTATTTGGTTATGTTGTTGAATTTAATTTTTGCTTAGTAACCAGCCGCACTGTGATGTCAGGCTGATTAAATTTGCCAGCATTTACGTGATTTCAATGCGTAATTTATGCCAGGTTCCGGTAGCCTCAAGTCGAACCCATTGCCAGCCATATGGCTTAGCCGGAGCCCAGAAAACCGAAAAGTTTTAATTAGTTTAGTGTACGCCTTCAGCAGGCTGTCAGCGTTGTCAGGCAGCCCATTTCAATGAAGAGTTTTATCTTTTATTTATTCTTTATTTTTTTAAGCACACCCATATTTATAGATATACAAATAGTATGTGCCGCCGGTTGTTAACGTGTGCGCCAGGCTGTTGACCAACTGCGAGGCGCTGGCAATTGAGGATGTGTCCAGACATTACAGGTGAGAATCGTCTAGCTCTTGGTTCCCAACTAAATAATACCCTGTACCCAGCTCTGAATTTCCTGAATATACATATATTTTGACAGCGCCCATAAAGATAGCATTCAAATATGTGAATGTAACAAAAATAAAAACTTTACCTCTTAAAATGATCTGTGCTTGAACTAAAAGAATGTACGGGATAACTTTCACTTTTTGAATCATATAAGATATGCTAGATATACATATATATATGTGATAAACGGGGGTTGTTAATCGATTCTTATCGATTGTGCCAAATGTTAACGCTTCTATACCAAAAAGCCTCTGAGAACTGAGTCGGACAGGTTAAACACATGGACGGCTATCAAGAATATAGTTACTTTATAAAGGGTAAAATCTTACCAATATTGCTTAAGCTATGAATGTTAAAAATGTTTAAAATGGCTAAGCAACTTAAAATTGCTCAGTTTTTGTATGCTTTATAGCACTTTCATCGTATCTACTTGGCTCGTTTAGAGATCTTATCGCTGCTGGCCCGCTGCCTTGACCAAACTCTGCCATTTCCTATCCAATTAAGCAGACGTCGTCGACGGCCTGTCAGCGGCGTGCAAAGGTGAAAAGTTTCAGTTGATATCAAATGTGCCAAACCATGGCGAAATCGCGTGACTGTCAACCAGTGAAATTTTCTGGCTGTGAGCAGCGTGCAAGACTTCTGTCTAAATACCCTTGCAGAGGATACATTTCATATGCATAGCAGTGCAAAGCTTATGGGAATATTTATTTACCGCGGAAATGTGGCAACTCTATCGATCAGTTATCGGACTAGGAATATGGTCATCAGTCAGTATTTTGTCAGCATATCAATCTGTTTTTGTACCGTAACAACTCTAACGGTAAGCATTTACATATATTGAACTGGTCTAATAAGCCGATAACTGGACTTTTTGTCAGCTCGAAAGTTATCGATTTATGTAAATAACATATATGATGCGAATGCTGAGCGCGTAGAAACGGACTGCAGTTAGGGTATTGAAGCTTCGGCTGTTCAAACTGGATTCTTTTTATTTTTGTTGTCTTTTTGGCTCGCAGCCCAATTTAATAGTTTTTCGATTTGTTGAAAGCAAACGCCAAAGCATAGAAAATAAATTGTCACAAAATGCTGGCCAACTTGAGCAGCGGCAGCCGGCAGCAGCAACCGCAAAGGCTGGCAAAAGTTTGCCTCAAGACTCTTACAGAGAGCACTCAACTCCTTGGTCTTATCTTTATCAGTTGAAGAAAAGCGCAGCCAGCTTTGTTGTTGGTGTTGTTGGTGTTGTTGCCGTCGTCAGCGTCACATATCGAGTGCCTGGCCCTGCAAGAAGTTCGACGACTTGGTCTTCGACTTGGCGACTGGCCCCTGGCAACCCCTCGCAACTCGCACCGATGCAGACACCAGAAATACTTCCGATTTGGCCGACAGCCCACGCTCAGACCGCCCACAGACGCCGTTCGCATTCAAGTTGTAAATAACTAGGCATCGAAGTGAATGGCAAAAATTTTCAATTGAATTCATTTGATTGCAAATGCCGTTGCCGCCGCTCCACGCAACTGCCCCCAAGAAGATAATTATCCACGCATTTTCGGTCAGAATAAAAGCACTAAAAAATAAATAGAGTCCAAATTTTCTGACTTGTGTATGCCCTTTAATTGGAAACTTTTTGTATGTAACTTCACAGTTAATTGTCTTAAAATGTACGTATTTATATCAATTCTTTATCAAAACTGCGGCAATTGATGAAGGGTAGAGATTCTACACATCAAATTTCTTTTATTATAAATGCTGAAAAAAGAACTCTTGGCAATCGAAATTTATCGATATTGGAGAAACGGAGTACAGTTGGCCCATTATACCCGTTTTACTGTTGTTTAATCCGCACAGGGCATAAGAAACAGGAAAACTACTGACGTTTTAAGATGGGCCCCATAAAATCTCATAAATGCGCATAAAGTGCCTTTTAACAGCACAGTTGGCTTGTCGGCGTCATCATCATCGTTCTGTAACTAGTTGTAAATATGCTCAACATGCACTCAATGAATGAAATGTGTGCACAATGTTGAAAATAGTTGTGACACCCCCAAGCCAAGCCCCACCCCACGCCCCTTAAAAAGAAAGCCACAAAAGGTCGCACATTTTTGTTGCTGTTGTTGTTGTGCATACGCCTGGCATGGCCTGTGCGCAGGCAGCTTGTAGAAGAACAACTTCCGCTTATATGGACACCACTTCAGCATGATAAATTGATGTTGCCGTTTTTAAAAACGAAAAAGAAACAAATATAAACACCGGGTCTCCGGCAGCAGCAACAACAGGCTGTACGCCTGATGTGCACTTGACTATTTTATACCCGTATTTATAGAGTATATATATAGTGTATACAATATACACACTGATATCTACATATGATTTTACCCTACAAATAGTCTGTCTTATGTTTAATTCTGGCAAATGTTCTAGCAATACATGCTTCTCGGATTTGCATACCCCATTTAAAATTTGGTTAGGGTATACAATGTTAACTCAAAGTGCTGAGTAGGAATAACTTTGCGTCTGTTGTGTGCGTTTGGTGGAGACAGGCTGTGTGCGTGTCTATGACCCTGCATAATTACCACACTGTCGAGGGACAGGCAATAACAACGCATCAACTTGCGGTCACATAAATTTTGCCCTTAATTTATAAAGTTTACCAAAAGGATACTTTAAATTTGAGCGCGCACGTTTCGTAGCAATGAGCTTTACAGCGCTGTCCTTGGTATTAAATATTTGTCAATAAGAATATGCTGTACAATTTAGGTATTTTTTGTTGGCACACATTAAAATATAGTAAGTGTTGCCTTTAGAGTTATTTAGTATTAAAAAGTATTTTGTCGCTACACGCATGCAGCCACACTGTATCCAAGCAAAACAAAAATGCATCCAAATGTAAATTTATTAATATTAATATTTTTGGGTGAGTTTTTAGCAAAAATGTATTATGCTTCAATCAAGTTTTCTATCTGTATAAGTAGGCCTGTTTGCGGTGCGAGCTCAGGCAGAGCTGTCTGGTCTGCTGGGCATCCTGCAATACTTTGGTCTCAATCTGCAATCGAACGGCACAGGATCTGTGGTGCTGGGCAAGATAACCCGGGGCCAGTGCCCCTACAGCTTCGAGTCGTATGCATTGATGCAGGATCGACACATCTGTTATCCGGATGACGAGCATATACTGCATCTGTCGGAGCTCCCGCAGCAACGCAAGCCTCCGCTTATGATCAAATGCCTGCAGCCGGATCCATCGCCGCAAGCTGGCGTCGTAACTGTGCCAAAGCTGCTGATCATGCAGAGCGCCAAGGACATTGTGAATCTTCTCAAGCCAATTGGTAATGCTACCAAGCGACACGAACCCGGCAGCTGCGTTTTAGTACACTTCTGCACGCCCACCAGCTTGGAGTGCGCTCGCGTGGCGGCATATGTCAATCTCTTACCACATCTGTTTCCAACGCTGCCAGTGGCCTATATTGATGCCTACGAGTTTACACGTTTTAATGCAGAGTTTGGCATTGCATCGCTGCCCACGCTGATGATATTCCATCAGGGACGCCCACTTATCAAGTATGATCCGCCTAGTAATGAAAATGTCAGCGTGCCCAGCTTCATAATGCGCCACACGAACCTCAAGTATGTGAATCCAAGGACCCTACGTCCCTATATTCTGGCGTGGGCAAAAGAGGGACCGCTGGTTTCGGTACCGACAGTGACGACAGATTTTTATTTGATCTTGGCTTGGGCGTTTATACTGATCTGCCTGGCCAACTACGTACGGCAGACGCTTTTTTGGAAGCAGCTTGTGGAAATGGTGCAGCGCAACTGGCGAGAGTCCGAAGAGACGCAAATGGAAATGATTGATTAGACCAACTTTGGCCAGAGGGGGATAAATTAAATAATTATATATTGTTTACGCTTTAAATTTACTATGTGTGTATGTATTTTCGTTTAATTAAATTCACATAAACATTTAGTTATGCCTTAATAATATTGGTTTTATAGTTTAGGAGGCGGCTTAATCCTTGTCGCTGCAAGATGTTAAGCTTACACTCCTCCGTATAGAGTTCAGCTTACGCTCTATAAATAACTAAAATTTTGAGAATATTTTAAACAATTCAACTTAAAATTAGCTTTTTTAACTTTAATACAACTAAAAATTTTCATTAACATTTTAGATGTGGGTGTTGGGGTTATGAGTGTTTGTATTGTTCGTGTGGGGTGTGAACAGTTGCCCGGCGTCCGAAAAACTATTGATTACAAAGCCTTATCGCAGATTCGCGAGCCTGCGTGTCACGCTCTGTGCCAAATATATATTAATACAAAACTAAGACACGCGTTGTCGCTAAAAAATATGGAAATAGTCAATTTGATTTTTGGTTTGGCCTGGCCAAAAATCATTCGTATAAAGTGGGGAAATCGCGCACACTGCAGATACGCGAATCTAATAGAAGGTAATAACATATAATTAGAAATGTGTATGTGTGTGTGTGTGTGTGTGTGTGTGTATGACTGTGATCGTTTATCGATAACATGTACTATAGGTTTGCGCTTTGCAATTGGAGGCTAAATTAACACTGTCTGTATGTGTTGGGTATGTGTGTGCTGTTAGGTATGTGTGGGTGTGTGTGTCAGTTTTAAGTGTATGTGTTTCCTTGCCCACATCCTATTATTGAGGTTTATTCCGCTTAGCCGATTTGACACGGGGCTCGCTCGCATCCTCCAATCCACGTGTAGCGCTTGACTGTTGGTGATGATGCTTTAGGCGTTGCTGGCGACGAGCGGCAGCGGGATTTGCAGCATAGGGATGTGGATGTATGCTGTTTAAAGAGAAGAACACATTAATAACATAACGTAACTGGCAGCGTAAAGAATACGTAAATATGTAAATAAAATATGAAAACGTAAGAGTTTTATAGAGTAATTATAATCATTCCGTACACAGGCCAATTTGAACGTAAATGTTAAAATTGTGAGAGCGAGGCGAGGCGATAGTGTGTTATTCAGATGACAAAGAGTGGCATAAGCTGGATGAGTGGGCGGGCGGGCGGTCGGTTTCGGTCGCACCGTTACGTAATATGAAAGGTACGCAGTTAATGTTTGTTATTGCAGCAGTCTCCCCCACGAAAGACAACAAAACGTAGCAGCAGCAGCACCGCAGCAACAACAGCGTTAGAATTTTGATAAGCGTAGTAGTTGTGTCACGTAGTACGTAGAGAATATACATGTGAGTAACGTTGACCAATTAAGCGTTATGTGGCGTGGCGTGGCGTAGCGTAGCATAACGATGATTTAATGCGTAAGAGGTAAACGAAAACGTAATGGAATTTGTCTAAGGCAACCAAACAATAAGTGTCCAACACGCGGCTCTTACTATTTTTGGTATTTTATGTGAAGGGCTTACGTAATACGCAAATAAGACAATTGTGACAACATGCTGATTACGTGTACGTCGCCTTATTTGTTTTACAATAACTATATAGAGAATGTGTGTAGTAGTAGAATTATGTACATAGCTGTTATTTGTTTTGGGGTTTTGCAGGCGGCCTTACACGTAACATGTGACACGTAACGACGTGTGTGGCGTTGCAGATGTGTAACGTAGATGATGCGTAGCGTCGCAGCGATGATTTTTCATGGCGGAGCGCAGCGAGAAAGAGTTGGAGCGTCGTCGCCAAACGCCGTGACTGGTTAGTAGGTAGTTGTGATTACGTAGTTGGACGTAGCGCGTCAATAATATCGCTGATCTTTGCTCAATTACATTGTGGTGTGTATATTATAAATTTATGTGTGTATTGATTATAGTTTATGATACATTATGCATATATATTTCTACTTGCGATAGAAACGTGAATTATATAAACGCCAATCTCTGCATTAGAATCGAAATATATATATATACATTTGTATTTGTTGGTAGAGAGGAGAGAGAAACAGAGCGAAATGTTGTTAATAAAGATATAAAATTTATCATATGGTTTAGGAACTATTTTTTAGCGTAGGAAAAAGCTCAAAATGGTGAACAGCCAAATAGCACAACGTAACGAAGGGTAAGGATTAATAACGAAAATTCGACTTTTGGTTTTATAAATTTAGAATTTCATAGGTTTCTTAAGAGGTTCAAAATTTATTCAGGGCAAGCTAACGGAGACGGCGATTTATTGTTCTATATGCGACGATTCTATAGTTTACGAAGCTTGATATGTAATTAACAGGCAATTGACGTAAGGTTAACATTATGATAACACAAAGTTGTCTATGCATTACAGTTAGGGTAGCTAACAGAGAGTTTTTCGATGCCTTTTTCTAACTAGGAAACTAGGCAGGTCTCTGGGGCCTATTTGTGGAAATATGTATTTTTCATTTGGTTGAAAGTTGCAGTTGTTGTAGTCTTGTTTTGCTTATGCGAACAAACCTTGGCGTGCCGGCAATGCTGTGACTAGCGCTGGATACGGTGGCCAACGGTGACGAGGAAGGCGTACGTAGCGGGCGACGGGGCGTGGCCAAATGCTGACCGTTGCGCATATAGGCGCGACGCGATGCTGGCATATTTCCGGTGCTCAAATAGTGGCTGTTGTTGTTGTTGTTTGTTACGTCGAAGGTTGGGGGCGAAGACGCTGCTGTTGTTGTATTGGCACGACGTGGCGAAGTTGTTGTTGTTGCTGCTGCTGCTGCTGCTGCAGTGTCGCTGCTGTTGTTGTTGTTGGTGTCGCCGTATGGAATCGATTCGAAGAAAATTTAAAAGAGATTACAACAAAACTCATTTGCCGAATGTCTTTCGGGCACTTAAACTGTGTTACTATGGGTAGTAAACGGTTGGTAGTAGTAGTGGTAGTTTTTTTTACTTTTTAATAACGTTGCAATCCATTAACGTAACGCGTTGTGGGTCTTTACGTGTAGGCATAATATGTATGTTTATGGTATATGAAGGTATATGAACTAAAAATAATATTTAACTAACTAAAAAGATTTGCATTTGGAAAATTATGAAAATTAGAATATAATTACAAATTGCTTTGCCGCCTACCTCAAATTGTTCTCATTTTTAATTTATCTTTTAGTATTTGAACGTAGTAGGAATGTAAAAGCAGAAATTTTTGTTAATATATGCAATTGCATTGGGATTCTTTGACTCTGATAAATATATATATATGTATACATATTTATATATAATTAGTAAAATATACTGTATGTACTTTGCTTGAATTAGTAATTATATCTGCAAGTAAATACAAACGTTTTAATTTAGCGGGCATCGTGACAAAGAAAGGGTACAAAAAGGAAACAGCCTAAATCTGAACATTGTGTTATGATCGTGTCTTGGACATGCCTTGTGCAAACAATCTGCAGTCAATTTCAAATCAAATTGTTTCAATTTTATGAATCAAAAACGGCTTTGATAATGTTAACGATCCCTAAAATAACTGAATCGGCGCTCTGTAAAGTATTATGTCTTGTCATGTTGCACAGCCTTTAGTAAGCGGACGGTTTAAAAATAAATAAAGGACAATTCCAATTGTCAATATAATGGCAATATAATTGTATATAAATTTAACGAAGTGTATAACCAATAGCATAGCAAAGTTCTATATTAAAGATTTAAATATGTTTCCTAACATTCTTTTATCCATAGGTAAGAATTCCGTTTATTATATCAGCGGAAATTGGATTCCGGCTTTAGTATCGCGCTGTTATGAACATGCTAAGCAAACAGCAACATATTAAACTAATATTCTAGCATAGAAGCTGTCGTGCTTTAACCAACATTGCCACAAGACATATCCAATTTGTTAATATTTGTGTTAATCATTGCGTGTTAAAGGCCAAAGCTTTTGAGTGTCAAGTGGAACGAGATGTTAAAAACAATCAAATCTAAAGCAACTCACTAAATGCGACGCGTTAAACCTGCAAACGACTGACTGGAGAGATATCAAAGTCACTTAAGCTCACCTGCTATGCGGTGCTGTTGGAGGCGCTGGCAAAGCGGGCAATTGACGGCCTGTGCGAGGCGGCTCTTGAATCACACAATCGTCATCGTCGTCGTCGAGCGGCTCAATGGTGACTGTTGAGCCGCCAGCAGTTGGACGAGCGCCGCGTATGGCCTGCATGCCGCCATGGCCACTTCCGTGTGGCATGATGCCGCGTGTGGCGCGAGTGGTAAACTCGCGATCAAACTGCTCGGCCTCCTCTTCGTCCAAATTAATAAACTCCTGACGCTCTTCCAGCTGGCCAGAGCGTAGATCCTGTTCCTTTTCGATAATGTGTGCGCGCTCGCCAATATGATGACCGATGGCCATTTTTTTAAGACCCGAGCGCGAATCTTGTACGGTCTTGCGTGTCTCACGCACACCTCCAGGTCCAGTTTTGGTGCTAGTGCTAGCCTGATAAATCTGCGGGCGTCCATCTGGACCCGAGGACATGGTCATCACGGTGCTTTGGCAAAACGATGCGCCATTATTGGCGCCAATGTCTGTAGGAGCAAAGAATAAGTTAAGAAATTCTATTTTTAATTTGATCAACACGTACCGGCATTAATCAAACGATTAAAACCGGGCATGGCTGGAAATCCAAATAGACCGCCGCCCATGGGAGCCATAGACTGTTGGCCGCGCTCCATCAATGCGCCCTGCTGAAAGCCAGGATCAAATGGCGATGGTCCCAGCATATTGAAAGGATCGGGCATAAAAGAGTTCATCAAGCGGTTCATCGAACGCATTTGCATATTCATGGCGTTCATGTGGTGGTTCATGTGATTGCTGTGAATACACAAAGAAAACTCATTTAGTTTTGTTTAACTTACAAGAAAATTACAAACTTTGTGTCCATTTCGTGATTCTCAGTTTTTTTCTTACGGCTTGAATTTCGTTTGCGTTTCATAACTCAAATAAATTACGCCGAAATATGGAATAACAAAATCGAATGTTGTCTGATTTAACATTTCAAGAACTGAAAACTATTCAAATGAAAACATAACTGAAGGGTTAGGGATTGTCAAAACTGACTTGATATATGAAAGTTAGCCTGCTGTTTATACGATTGAAATTTACAATTCTTAGTTACGTTTATACGGTGGCCTTTTTGGCGACAACAGAACTTTAAAAATGTGTTTCAGGTTCACTTTTTTGAATGGCTGTGAAAACTCTTTTAAAAATATCAATATTATTGTCAAACATAAAAGTGATTTTAGTTTATGACATAGTAACACAAGTAATGGCTGGAGTTTGGTTTGGATATTTTATAAATCAATTTGCAGTAGGCTACATGTTAAGGAGGTCCGGTCCGATCAAGTAATTAGTAAGTAATTAATTGCATGGTCAGACAGACAGATATGGTTATATCGGCTTCGATGTTGATACTGAACAAGAATATTTAACAACACAATGGACTCGGAGATATCTGTTTCGACATGTTATACATTCAGTGACAAGCTTACTTTGAAAGAGATTATAGGTAAAAAAAAAAACATATTAAATAATTGAAAAATTATTTTCAGTTGCCGCCTGATATAAGAATAAAAATGTATTTAAGTAAGACGCAAATGACATAATGAATAGAATTAAAAGAAAATGACGTTATGTTTTAAATCTACAACATGATATGACGTATAAGCCTATATGTTGTTGTTATTGCAATCAAGCAGAACTAATCTCAATTATATTTAGAGCCGCAAGCGTGCAATCGAAAATATCGATTAATTGCGGGCCCTCGTCTTGTCTTTTCTTCCTGCTGCTGCGACTGCTTTAACGACAGCAAGCTGCGCACTCACACTCACTCACACACATACACACACAAAACGAAAAACTGTGTTGTGTGTATTGTGTAAAATTGACAAACACACCGCAACGCATGCACTGCCCAGCGGAGCACCTAATCAGCAATTGAATTTAAATTTAAAACCTTACAACCAGCAACTTCAAGCCCAATGTCTGGCTCATTTCCTACATTTGGTCACTATTCTTTTACAATTTTCTTGCAAATTTTCCACGCCCCAAAAACAACAACTACTTAGCTGAAAACCAACATCGACATGGTTATTTGCCAACTTACTTCATGAATCCAAGATCATCGTCGAAATCGCCCATTAACGCACCAAATAGCGACATAATTGTATTATACCTTGTTTACAATCCAGCAATATTACAATTTTAATTCTTGTCTCTTTTTTTCTTTTTTGTTATAACTTCACGAGTTTTCTCGAAGGCAATGTGACCGCGTGGCAGCAATGGTGAAATATCTAAACGATGTGACTGTGTGAAAAAGAAAATACCGTAAAAATACTGCAAGTGCTGCCAATTTAACTCAAATTAAAATAACTGTGTCCATTTGAATTAGCTTGGAGATTCAAAATACTTTTGTAATGCTCAATTTATTTGTATATTTGGTATAAATTTATTTATAAGTGTTAAATTAATTTGTTCGCTTATTTTGTTCATTTTTTAGCTTGCATACACGACATAACGCCTGAATCTTTATAGATAGGGGGCAGACTGTTCTTCAATCCAAGAGGTGTGGTGCCTGACACTTGTATACACGCCAGGAAAGCCTTCCCGAGCGCAGCCCACGCCCCAGGAGACAATGCCCACTAAAATGCCATCCACAGTCAATGGACCACCGGAATCACCCTGACAGGCATCTTTGCCGCCCTCCTCAACGCCAGCGCACAACATTTCATCGGTGATAGTGTAATCCTTGGTCAGATACTGGGCGCCACAGGTGTTGGTGTCCATAATTTCCACTTCAACCGCACGCAACATGGCTGGCAGTGCTTCATCCTCCTCGGTGCGCTTGCCCCAGCCGCTGACAATGGCATGAGTGCCCGGCGCAGGCGAGTCAACAGCCAAAGCAATCGGCTGCACTAGACTGGAGTAAGCCAATGGTTCAGTGGTTATAATCATGCCCACATCATTCACATGGGTCTTCTTGTTGTAGCCACTGTGATAAATCAGCTTGCTGACCTTCACGCCCTGCTCATCCAGATCGGCTATGGAATTCTGTCCGGCCACAATACGTATGTACGAGGCGAAGCGTCCCTTAATGCAATGGGCAGCGGTCAATACCACACGTGGTGCATAGATGCTGCCACCGCAAATGTGCAGCAGCATGTACGTTTCCAGACGCACCGACACCTGATACGGATAGTTCACAATATCCGTCTCGATGCCGCCCACAATGTGGGTGCTAATGGAGGCGCCACTGTTCAAGGCCGCCAGGGAAAGCAGCCCCAAAACGATTAATCCAAAACACGACGACATTACGCAAATTCAAAGACTCTAATGTTAATCAATAGATGGCACACGGCTTTATATATGGGCAGTGCTGTGGTTATCGCTGCTTACCCGAAATCGCACGAAATCCACGAATACCCACGGATTTCAATTAGGGAATTCTACGATATTATAAAGTTTATGTGACCAACTGTTTTATATCCATTATAAACACGGCGGTCGGTGGTCTTCTAAAGAGAAATTCTGACCCATTATTAAACCATAGCCCCATAAGCTCTACGATAAGTCTTTAACGATATAGCAAAATAAAGGAACAAAAAAGAAAAACACAATTCAAACAAACAAGTTCACATAACTGACATTATTTGGCATATGTAGTACTATACCCTCAAAAAATTATCACAAAATTACGTTGAGTCATTTCATTTCATTTGCAATGAACTTTGCTACTGCCCTGAGATGTCTGCGATTTAAGTAATCTTATTCCGAAAACCCTTAACTCGTCTATAGATTAAAAACGTCGTCGCCCGGCTGTCGAGCGCTGAGATTTATAATCGGGCCCGAGTAACCAAGCACCAAAAAAATGCTTCCTTGATAAGCGTTAATAGCTAAGATTTTTATGTTTCCCATATAATTTTTATGTTTCGATATAAACAAATATTGGACTACTACTATATCGTAATTTTATATGGAAGCCAGTTTGCAATAAGTTTATTTTAAGATTACGCTGACATATAGGTACTTATAAATATGATTGATGAATCAGACCAAAAAGTAGTCGTTGGTGCTTACCCCCTAGATCATATAAGTACACGCTTAGTGCTTAAGTGACAACCTTCTTGGAATGAATTAAATTATCGCATCCAGTACACTGCTAAAAAGCTTAGAGTATATGTATAATGCATTGTTTCAAATATTATTTACTGAAATATGAAAATGTAAATATGTTTATTTTAATTAATTTTTCGAAATAGTTCTATTTACTTTGCGAGTTTTAATCTATCCCATGTCATGTATCTTCATCTTCATCTTCATAGTATTTAGATATGATGACTGTTATTTTCTCACTTCGATTATTTGTTATCGACCCTAATCGTCAAGTGTGACCGTTAGATTTCATAGCGATCAGCCTTCGAAATTTAGCAAAATTAGGTGATCGTATCACAAGCACAGACCATCGATAAGGATAAGATAAGCACCAAATTAACCTTAATGTCATTCCGGATAGATTTATGACACTTCAATTATTGCTTTGATATCGATTGATTAAGGAATTAAACTATTGATAAGCCTTCTATAAAAGCACACAGCACTCAAAATTTCGCTTTAGTTCTTAGAAAAGATGTTTCGCATCTTGATCGGTTTGTGCCTTTTCGGATTATCGCTGGCTGGCACCGTTTTTCAGAGCGGTGTGCCCATGCCCGATGGTCGGATTGTGGGTGGTCAGGATACGGACATTCGCAGCTATCCGCATCAAATATCCATGAGGTACAGGGGAAATCACAGATGCGGAGGCTCAATAATTGCCACCAACATCATCGCAACCGCTGCTCATTGTGTGAACACGCTGTCAGGTGTGGCTAATCTTACCATAATAGCTGGAACCACCCAAACAATCTGGCCAAATGGCCAGGAGTTGGCGGTACGCGAAATCATCATACACGAGAAGTACAAGTCCCTGTATCAGGACTATGATGCCGCCGTTCTTGTACTGGATGGCGATTTCGAGTTCAACGAATCTGTGCAGCCCATCGAACTGGCCAAGGAGCGTCCGGAGCATGGTACGCCCGTCATTGTTACCGGCTGGGGCACGAC